GTGCTCACAAAAGCTGCTTTATCAGGCATTACAGGCATGATGAAATGAAAATGAGACCAATTGGACCAATCACAGCAGATTAGCGTCACGCAAAGGAGGGGTTTGGAAAAATGAATCGTTGAGCGAATCGTTTGGGAGTTGTTGAGCAAGTAAGGTAAAAATAAATGCATATTATAAGACAATGAAAGTATTTTTTGACCTTGCATGCATGTCAACCTGTTGTTGGGGACTCCCAAAACCAAAATATGAACCTTTCATTACCCATAATAGGGGCACTTTAAAGCAGCACATTAATATAGAACAGTGATTAAACTGACTTCGAACTACCTGTGCATTAAACAATGCATACCAGCCAGCCAGTTAGAATCAAGTATTCAGACAGATCATGGTACAACAGTTCTTTCTGGTCCTCGAATCTGATTGGTTGATAAGAGTGTGATATTCTAGTGAACTCCAACCGTTTCACCATTTCTATCACTCCACTTGCTGTATTTCTCACAGCGAGTGTAATGGCGGAAGCCCTAATCCACTATAATTTAAAAAATTATACTGTTTTTGTGTCATGGAATGTAGTTTAAAAATTTTTAGGTGAAAATGTATTTATTTAGACTTCAAATATACAGTTTGTTAATAAAGATAACGTCTATTTGAAAATTTGCTTCAACGGTTTCGGAGATGTGAGCTTCAGGGCGTCTGCGGGCATTCAGCGCTCATGAACCCACAGACAGCAGCCTCACCTTGGCCAGCCAGCTCTTCTGGAGCCACTGGCTCTGATATTTCTATAGTGGCGAAACATGAGATATAATTCACGTTGGGTAAATGTAACAGGCAGTCTTTGGTCTCATTAATCTATTATTTGTTCCAGAGTAAATAGTTTTGGCTTTAGGCAAAATCTCATCACGTTATATTTTATATAACATTAATGCTGTATATCAGAGCGTACTTTTGACTGAATTACCTAGAAACTTTTATAATGACTGTTTTTGTTGAATATTAAATATTATTGTTCAATAAATATTATTTATATAAATAAAAGTAGTATTTAAAAATAGTATTTACTATTGAGAAATGGTGTATGTGTTCGTGATGGTGATTTTAGTTACAGTATTCCACCATTAGATGGCGACAAGAGACTGTTTTTATGAGTGAGTGCTGACTTTTATAAGCAAAGACTTTTATATTGAAAGAGACTGAAACAGGGTTTTAAACAAATAAGTTATTTTTACTTTTCAACAACAGCTTGTAAGACGAAGCCAACAAATGCACTGAGCAGCGCTATCATCGGAAATCACCCTTAACAGATGAAAGATATCGTTTTCCTCAGAGGACATTCAAACTTATGTTTTATTGTGAATATGAGATTGAGCTGAAGAATAAATCAGATGCAGGTAATCACACTCCCTCAGTCCCTCTCTCTCTCTCATAATACTCTACAAAATACAGTGAGCTTTTAATACAGTAATACAATAAGTGTTCAATGAAGCAACACAACATTCCTTCATTACTAGTTCTAAAGTGACGTTTTCTAATGAGTAACCGAGGCTTGGGCTCAGCTGTTAAACTGTCAACTTGAGATTTGAATCCATGGCGGAAGGAAGTAGTTCTGCACAAAAGAGGGTGTTTAAAACAACAACTTAACCATTGTTGTTTATTATGTATTTACACACCCTTGCCATCTAACTGTTGTATAAATGCAATATCTCACTCGTAGCAGTGCAATATGGTTGTATATGGCTTGTCTACGGCCAAATCACAGCTGTGCTGATATACAGCCATATCACACTGCTAAAGGAGTGATATTGCTCATATATAAGTCTCAAATATTGACATTATTTAAGATCTGCACAGTCTCTTGCTACATCTTATAAGTGTTAGGGGAAGTTTTTCATACTGAGTGTTTCCTATAATTTCAGTGGTAACCCTTTTACAGCTGGAACAATGCAATATGGTTTTGTTAATATCACAATACTTATTCATGATATCTTATGGTTGTTTAAAGAAAACTTAATTTATGTTTCTTTACCTGAAGCAGACAAAGAACACTTATAAATATTATGGCCACATTATAAAGCCTTTTTGATGTTTACAAGAATATTTTTGTAATGTTACAGTAAAAAGCCACTCATAAGATATAGAAAGATACTGTGCAGATCTTAAACAATGTCAATATATGCAACATATAAAACACTATAGAAGCATTATACAAATCACTTAACAGGATATATTGTGTTCGTCGTGTGTTAGAAATCATCATACTCTTAAAGTTGTAACCACAAGGCGAGTAGGTTAATGTTATTATGTCTTAAGAATGCCCTTCTAATGCATAATAAAATGGCTACAAAGAAGGTATAGTTGTGTGTCTGAAAAATGTTTTCTAATTGCTACATAATAATGAAATGATCCATCTTTATTTGACCCTCTAACTCTAGCACTCTCTATTCTAATTCTATTCTTTACAAAAAAAATTGCCCCTTTTAGACTTGCACTCTATTTATTTACTAACTGCCTGTTTTCTTAAAAAAAAACTAACACTTGCTTCTCTAATCTTTTTGTATTATATCTATTTGTTTTCTTTGTATTTATTATACAATTAACAAAAGCAGAAAAGGCCTCTAACACTAGCTTGCTCTATTCTTTTTCTATTCTATCTGTTTTCTTTTTATTTATTATATGATTTAAAAAAAAACTTGCTACGTGTACTGCATTAAGCTAACTGAGACTTGTTATAACACTTGCATATCATTGCTCTTTTGTTGATTTTGATTGCTTCCATTGTCCTCATTTGTAAGTTGCTTTGGATAAAAGCGTCTGCTAAATGTAAATAATAATACTGTAAATAATAATAATACTTCTAAATAATACATAATAATTTTGTGTATTTGGGATTAACATTAAGTGTCACAGTTTTTATGAATATGTGTGTGTTACCTCTGGCTCCACCAGTCTTCTTTTCTGTGAAAAGTGAGGTGAAGACATCCTTCTCTTCACTGCACTCCTTCTTGCCTCTGTTTCAGACTTACTCTCTGGTCTGGGGTGGTCATGTACTCCTTTAGCCTTAAAACAGACAGCGTGGAGTGAATTGGGAATAGTGGAAAATCTCACATTTATATTCATAAATCATAACTATTTACAGTGACATCAATCTGTGCATTTAAAGCTTATGGTTTTTCTAAAGTATTTAATACTTAGTAAACTGTAAAAGGAGTTGTTTACTTATGTCTACCTGATGCTTATGTCTTCCTTCTCTGATTCATCAAAAATGACTTGGTGTACTCTAAGTATAAAAGTTTATTCAGTAATATTAAATTATATTTTTGACTTTAGGCTCCAGCCCCCCAAGGTCTTGAATAAGTTAAAAAAATATGTCATTTTTTGGTTATTTGACAAAACATTTCTAAAATGACGTTTGCAAAAAAAAATAAAATCAATTAAACTCACCTGGAAAAAAAATGCCTTCCCATCTACTCTCCAAAAATTGGTTACTGGATAGCCACTGTGACCTCGGCACGGAATCAACTCGAGAGCTGAGTTACAGTTTGGACATAGCTTTTCTGCAAATGTATGAATAAACAGTATTACTAAAACTATTTTGTATGAATAAATATTTCTTACTGTGCATTTTACAGATATGCAAACAATTACCGATTTTATTTTTATATTTTAATGTAATGTTCATGTGTAGCTTTATCAACTGAACACAAGAGGTTTTGACTGAGCGTTTTGACAAGTGTACAACAAGTGTTTTGACTGAGCCAAACAGTCAAGGTCATGAGTGAGAGGGTCGGGCTATACTGACATAATAGTGTCTGCCAGGGACTGTCAGTCTATTGAGCATTCTCACTGCAAACTCTATTAAGACTGATTAACACGAGTCACTGCGAAGCCTACACTCTTAGAAATAAATGTTCCTAAAATAATTCACAGCTTAATGCCGCAAAATAATCCTTTTTTTTTCTTTCGTTCTAGTTTCTTCACACTACGCGCTACAACAAGCCTGTAGTGTAAAATATGTTTGTTCGTTCTTATCAGATTCGTTTCTAACACGACCAACTCGTTTGGTAGATGCTGGTTGTTAGGAGAAAAAGTTCCTGAGCGTACTTTGTTGTTTCTGTCGTGCTTTGTCACAGATGGCCGGTCTCAGCTGAAGTTTGAACCCGTCTGGAAGAGAGCAGTTTCGTGAACACACCACCACACCAAGACAGGACTTCTTCAGGATCTGACAGTTATGGTTGTTGGTGTTTCTCATGGCCCATCCGCTCAGGTGTCTTTGTGCGTTCTTATCTTCACTGCTGTAGATATAACGTACATATCCATCCGTCCACTCCTGGAACGCATCATACTGCTTCGTGTCCTGGAAAAATAATGTTTTCATTATTATTACCATATTCAGATGTTTATTTTGCGAGAGGACATCTAATCATTATGCAATTAAAAAATTTGGACAGACATATAGAAACTATAAAATGCTTTTTGTGTAGCATACTTTGTACAAATTAAACACTGAAACAAGAATGAATAGTAGCTATACCAAAAGAAAAGGAAATATTCTGTTCCGTTTTGCCTACAAATGCGTAAAAATATTAAATATTTACCTGTGGAAGCTTGGGGTCGTTTATATCCCAAGTCAGCTTCATCCCGAATGAACACACGCAATCTGAGCTGTCAAACTGATCTGAGGATTTGGACATGATGCGAGTCAATTCCGGATCATAGCAACCATAAGAATTCAAAATCAGCTTGAAGACAAAAATTCTGCTCGGAGTCTAGATAATTTTAAAAATATATGTCGTACATCTCTAAGTCACGTCTTTTAGATTTTTACTTCCAGAAAGCGTCTTTATTTTCTCTTGTAAAAATCCAGTCCGTCCAGGTGCGCTTCACACAGGTAATGGTCTCAGGTAAATGCTGCTGTGTATATGTAAAGAAGGAGGCTGAACTTACACACACACACACACGCACGCACGCACTACCTCAAACACTGAGTTCTTTCACTTTAAATGATCCTTGCGTTTCTCAATAACGAAAGCTCGGTATTTGACTACAGGGTGGAAGTGGCACAGTTTGTGTTAAATAAATTTTCCTTACACATTCCAGATTTTATCTTTGCGTTAACAGTTTTAAGGGGAAAATTACAGCCTCTTTTAAAAGTGAACCCGACGGTGTGGTATTTCACGAGTAGTCAGCGAAATTTATGCGAGCGACTTTCACTGGGACTGAGCCGAGGCTGATGGTCACAGAACAGGACTGGTCCAGTTGGTAAGGTAACGCGATCTACTGCAGGTCATTAGTTGTTGTGTGTAAACGAAAAGCCGCACTGCTGACACAACACGGACCGGTCGTTAACACAACAAACACAACGCAGCTCATAAACACGCACCTTTTATCTATGCGATCACCGATGATCATTGATTGAAAATTACAAATGCAAGTGATTTTCAGGTGATGCATCCACCCTGGACACGAAGTTTAAATTAATGGCGTTTTTTTTTCTGTTTGTAACATAAGGGTTCAAATAATAATAATAATAATATGAATAATAATATTAATAATAATAACAGACTGCAATACCCTTGTAATTAGGTAATCTATTATCTATCATCTATCATCTGGAGTCTCAAAGTAATCTCATTTCAAATATTCCAAAATTCATCATTAAACAAATTTAACTGGTATCTTGAAAAGCAAGCGAGTCTCCTGCTAAAATACCATACAGTGTCTGACGTCTGAAAAATGACAGTCTATCTATACAAGAATTCAAGATGCCATATACAAAATGATAGGTGTACTGTAAGCTACATTAATGTGTTTTTAATTTAGTTAAATGTACCTTTTGGGCTGCACGGTGCAAATGTAAGCTAACCGTGTTTTTGTTTTTTTTATCCATTGTGGTTGTTCAGTCTAAAAATATATTTACAGTGCAAGTATAAATGCATAAATATTTTTTTTTTAGTTGGAATCTTCATTTTGCAGAAAATGTCCTAATTTTTCACAAACAATAATGCGTTTTTCTTAAGACGATAATGATACTCATTCATACATACATATGAAGGCAAGCTGTTTTATTTTATAAATTTGCCGTAATATTAATGAGACACTTATCACTCAAGTACGAGTACCGGTTACGCATTCGTGGTTGCAATTATTATTATTATTATTGTTGTTGTTGTTGTTGTCGTCGTCGTTATTATTATCGTCATTATTATTATTATTATTAGGCCTATTATTTCATTTTATAAAACTATTGCAGCCTATCGTTTGTTCATTCTTTTCTTTGTATTATTGCCCTGTTCCTTTTGATTTGCATTACTATTTTGTCATTCTAAGAAGAACAGAGCAACAGTGCACTGATCACTTATCATTGCTGTTTTGATCACTAAATTACTTTTTGTCGTCACTGATATATATATATATATATATATATATATATATATACACAGACACAGACACAGACACACACACAGACACACACACACACACACACATTTATATGTGTTTTATATGTAGAGAAATAGTATTTTTCACTGGTATTTTATCTCGATGCCAAGTCGGCGTTTTAGGCTACATCTACAAGTCCATGCACAGCGCAAATGACGTGAATTTACGTAGGCCTTATAATTCTGATATAATTCTGATATAGGCTAAACCTCTAAATTGATGGTCAGTATGACAATTTATAATCTGCTCGCTTTTTAAATGCTGAATTGGTTTGAGATTTCGTCAGAGCATCTCAAAGAACAGCACAACCCACCCAAGGACGCCATGAATCTCACTGAAGTTTTCTACGAGGTTGCCATGGTAATACATTTTTCTGTAATACATTTTCGCTACAGAGAACTTTTGATCAATCTGATTTTTTATTTTTTTTGCTGCGGTTTGGGGCTGTTGTTTTGGATTATGAAGTGCCGTTCTGTCTGCGTCTATAGGTAATTGTCATGAAGCTGATAAAAATGCAAAA